CCAAAATAATAAGGAAAATACACATATGCCTCTACCCAGAACTGGTGTCACAACATTCACGGACTACTAAGATTTACTACATGCAACCGTTTGAAAGAGAGTAACACTGTCTGTCTCGAGTACAAAAGATAACAGATCATAAATAAAGATAGAGGAGACACCGGGCCTGCAGACGCCTGCAAGGCTACCTCGGTGTCTCGGAGGACTGAAGGCTGGTTCCTGAGCTACTGCTGCTGTCCGGGACCTGGATCTGTGCAAAAGAGCACAGAGTGTAGTATCAGCACAACCGACCCCATGTGCTGGTAAGTGCCTAGCCTAACCTCGGCGAAGTAGTGACGAGGTTAGACAGGACTACCACATAAACCTGCACAGTTATATATATATATATATATATATATATATATATATATATATATATATATATATAGCTACAACGGGAAAATAACAAGAACAAACATTTTAAATGGGAGGGGAACATGCTTCGGGGATAGCAGATAATACAGAATTTCAAGAGAATAATAAGGAACATCAATAAATTAACTCTAACACGGATAACGAAAATAAAAGCAGATTTCACTATCAGTACACATCTCGTTGCAGGCGTGCAACCCGATCCCATTTCTCAATGTTTCCGTGGTAGGCGTACCACCCGCTCCCATTTCATCAAATCTTGTGGTAGGCGTACCACCCACTCCCATTTCATTAAATCTCGTGGTAGGCGTACACCCGCTCCCATTTCATTAAATCTCGTGGTAGGCGTACCACCCGCTCCCATTTCATCAAATCTCGTGGTAGGCGTACCACCCGCTCCCATTTCATTAAATCTCGTGGTAGGCATATCACCCGCTCCCATTTCATTAAATCTCGTGGTAGGTGTATCACCCGCTCCCATTTCGTTAAATCAATAGTTCTTCCAAATGAAATTTACTCCAACAAACGCAACAATTTATACGAATTCATAACACGACAAGTACACAATAATTATGACTCACTGAGGAAAACAAGAAATGACAAGTAGCAATTAATTATGGACTTTAAGGAGCAAATAGACAATTTAATGTTTAGTATGCTAAATGTCAAGTAGCAATTAAGTCACATAAACATGTAGCAATTATAGCATAGATTCAAGGCATAATGTTGCGCAAGGATACCTCGAGCCAATAATAACAAGTAACACAATAAAGGAAAATGCCAACATAAAGAATCACAGTGATAGTGGAATAAGACAATTAATGCAATTGAACCGATAACAACAAGAAAATCAGTAAATAGAAGTAAAGGATAACATAACTCAACTATCAGCAAAAAAACCCAGGAAAATCAAAGACAAGTGCACGGCATCACCCTTCGTGCTTTTACTCTCGTCCTCACCAAACAATAATATAATGAAAACGTGCACAGCATCACCCTTCGTGCTTTACTCTCTTTCCTCACCAAAGCAATTTGAATAATAAAATGTGCACGGCATCACCCTTCGTACTTTAACACTCTTCCTCACCCAAACAACAATCACAAACAAGGGGCAAGGGAATAAACAAAATAATAAAAGAAATCCCGGCAAGGGAATACAACTAAACAATTAAATTCCGGCAAGGGTACAACATCAATAATCTCAACGTCCCGACAAGGAAAAATAAACAATAAACAACAATATCCCGGCAAGGGAACAATTCAAATACTCTTTCTCTTCCTTTTACCTTTATTTCATATCTCACTTTACCACTTGAGCCAATGCTCCAAAGGGTTCAACCATTTCATATACGTTCACAATTGAAAAATAACTTGAGCCAATGCTCCTCGTTGTTCATAGGTCACAATTTCCTTTCACAAGATCTTCACAACAAATAGGAATCATCACCAAGGAAAGAGAAATACAACGAAATCAAGATATTCGCAATTTAAGGACTCACGGTCATGCTAGACACCAACGTATAGATACTCGTCACCATGCCTATACGTCGTACTCAACAAGAAGCAATTAGCAAATAAGACTCAACTCCTAGTCCCTCAAGCTAGGGTTAGACCAAACACTTACCTCGATGCCTTGAACACAACTCAAGTCTCAATTATAGCTTTACCCCTTGATTCCACCGCCAATCCGCTCGTATCTAATCACAAATTACTTAATTACATCAATAAACACTAAATGAATCAACCCCAATGCATGAAAATGAGTTTTTCAAAGTTTTACCCAAAAAGTCAAAAATCGCCCCGGCCCACGTGGTCAAAACCCGAGGTTCGAAACAAAACCCGATTACCCATTCCCCCACAAACCCAAATATATAATTTGTTTTGTAATCGGACCTCAAATTGAGGTCCAAACCCTCAATTTTTGAAAAACCTAGGTTCTGCCCAAAACACCCAATTTCCCCCATGAAAATCTATGATTTTAGGTTGAAATCATGTTATAAGATGTAAATGATTGAAAGAAATGAGTAAAAACTAACTTACAATTGATTTTGAAGAAGGTTTGTTCTTGAAAAATCGCCCAAAGGGGTTGTGTTTTGAAAATGGGGTGAAAATGACTTAAAAATCGACTAAGTGTAAAAATTTGAAGGTTGCAGATATGGGAATTGCGAACAGGGATTCGCAATTGTGAACGCCGACCCTCAGATATGGGAATTGCGAAGCAGGGTTCAAATTTGCGAACCCTTCACAATTCCCCAGGTTTCGCATTTGCGAAGAAGTAGTCGCAATTGCGACCTCGCATTTGCGAGAAAAGTATCGCATTTGCGATGACTGAGGATCCAGGTGGGCATCGCTTTTGCGATGGAAGTCTTCGCATTTGCGAAGAGGGCTGCCCAGGTGTTGTCTCGCATTTGCGATGCATAGCTCACATTTGCGAGCTCGCATTTGCAAGGCTGGCTTCGCAAATGCGAAGCCTGCAGGTCAGTTCATACCAGAAAATTTTAAGTTCAAAAATGCAACCGGTGGCCTGTCCAAAACTCACCCGAGCCCTCGGGGCTCCAAACCAAATATGCACACAACCTCAAAAACATCCTACGGACTTATTCGTGCGATCAAATCGCCCAAATAACATCTTATACATCGAATTAAACCTCAAAATCCAAGAATTCTTTCAAACTTCATAAAACCTCAAATTTTCCAGTTTAGGTCCGAATCACGTCAAACGACGTCCGTTTTTCACCAAATTCCACAGAAACATCTTAAATCATATATAAGACCTGTACCGGGCGCCGGAACCAAAATACGGGCCCGATAATAACATGTTTTAATCAAATTTTATTTTTAATTTCCTTAAACAATTCCAGAAAACAATTTCTTTCAAAAATTCATTTCTCGGGCTTGGGACCTCGGAATTCGATTCCGGGCATACGCCAAGTCCCATATTTTCCTACGGACTCTCCGGGACCGTCGAATCACGGGTCCGGGTCCGTTTACCCAAAATGTTGACCAAGGTCAAATATATTCATTTTATCATAAAAATTTAACATTTTTCATAGAATTTTACATTTAAGCTTTCGGGCTACACGTCCGGACTGCGCATGCAAAGCGAGGCGACTCTAAATGAGGTTTTCAAGGCCTCAGAAGCACATAATTTATTTAAAACAGGTGATGACCCTTTGGGTCGTCACACTTGGTTATCAACCTCAATGGTAACAGTAGTGAATTTAATTAGGGAGATTAAAATATAATTTGTGCAAATTACATGATAGAAATTAAAGAGCTATCTTAGCTAGCAGAAATGAATATGTTGATCAACTAAATAAAAGGTTGATTACTAAGTTTTATGGTAAAAATAAAATATTTTTTAATTTTTGACTCAGCAGAATATGATACCAATAATTACTACCTCGAGAATACTTAAATATGTTAACACCAAATGGCCTTCTACCATACAAGTTTGTTGTTAAGTTCATTTCTTACGTATGTTAATATCATCGTATATATAATAGACTAAGTTAAAAATTAATTTCGTTGCAAATAGGTTTATTTTGAAGAAAAATATGCCCGTCATACTACTGAAAAGCTTAGATATGCCGAATAGCTTATGTAATAGTACACAGATGATATATATAAGTATTGAAAATAACATCATACATGCAGAAATTATGATACCGGTCAATGTGCTTCTAAGTATGTGTTTATCCCCCGAATTCAACTTTCGTCTTTCGAAACTAAAGAATATCCTATTAAATTTGTTGAAAATAATTTTCAATATGTTTATGTGTTGCAATTATAATAAATAAAGCACAAGGACAAACATCCTAAATATTGAATTATATTTACAGCAATATAAGTTTTTGCATGAACAACTATATGTTGCACTTTCAAAAGGGATATCAATATCGACAACAAGAGTTCTGGTTATGGCAGAGCAACCGAAACATTAAAAGAAAAAACATACACAAAAAAATATTGTCTACAAAGAAGTGTTCGGTAAGATACCATAACATTAAATGTTACTAAATTATAATACATAATTATCTAACTAACGTGACCAAATTGATCATTGGTGTAAGTTCTGATGATGTCCTTTTATTTTGAATTTATGTATTATGCTAATATATAATATTTTTTGGCATTTAGATGATTGTTGTATTATTATACACAAAATTTCTCTCATTAATTAAATTTTATTGTTCCTTCAAATAAATAAATATTTAAAACAACACATTCTATTATTATCGTGCAACACACATTTATAGATACTAGTTTTGTGAACAGTTACTATGATGCATAAAACATTTATTAGTTTTAGAGAATTTTATAAGGAGATTAGTTTTACTAATAATGCAACTAATCAAACAATTCCTCATATATTATCATTAACAGCATAATTATCCCTAAATTATTAATCACCATATAATATTTTTTATATTATTATTCACTGCAAATAATCTCTATACTATAATCTCTACATAACCAGTGTTCATTTCCCCCCCCTCATAACTCATTAACTTTCTTTTCTTTTACCTTTATAATTTTTGTCATTTAATTATTTTGACTATTGCCTTTTACCGTTTTGGGTTTTCCCATAATTTTCTACATGACCATTCTTTGACCCATATAAACCTCGGATCTATTCTGCCTTCCTCAGTCCTCTTCGTCGCTGGGTGTTTCGTTTTCTGAGTTTCGGTTTTTGGGTTTTGCTCCGTTGGGATCGTTTCTACTAGAGAAAAGGGCTTCGAACATGGTAAGCCCAAAAGTCAATTCATCAAAATTATCTTTATCTAATTCTTTGAATCAAATCTGAAAATGGATCAATTCGTAGCGATAATAATTCTTACTTATCAGTAATCAATGCTATGCTTTTCTGATCAAATAGCTCAATTGATCTTAATTTTTCTTGTTTAGATTCTGGGGTCTGTAGATTAATTAATGCTGGATTTTTTGCATTGCTTGTATCGGTATATCCTTGTATCGTAATTCCCCAGTATATTGATTTTGAAAATTACTTAGTACCAGTTTAAGTGTAATTTTTGATTCGAATAACTACATCCCAGTCTCAAACTAGTTGAGCTGATGGATCCCTTACCCGTTTAACATTACACCCAGGTGCTGATGTTCCTAGGAGAGCGTGTAACAATAATTCCTTGTGTAGGGTTAGAAGATTCGTGGAATTACGACTATATTTGATCTGGCTATCAACCTCCTCTACCGGATAAAGGAGGAACAATTATATAATATATAGGTTGGTTGCCAAATTACTAATAGTCCTAATTCCATGAATCCTCTAACTCTACACATTGAATTCATCTTTTTGTAACCCTTCCTCCTCTGTCCAGGGTTGGTCCTAACAATGCAAACCTCACATTGGCTATGTCAAAATCACATAACGAGTTTGAATATGCTTCCTGTTTGTGGATAATAAATTATATGGTATTTTTGCTAATTTTAGGGCAGTTGAAGTAGTGGCTTTGTCCAATTTTTGGTAGAACATAAGTTGACTTCTAAAAATTGGAATTGAATTTGTCAGGTACGATTACAGCCCGACCCATTCCTCAATGAACTGACAAGCATGTTTGAGCGAACTACTGAGCGTGGTTCTGTTTGGGTTACTCTCAAACACTGTGAGTTTGCCTCTTCGTTGGTTTTTCTGTACTTTTGGCAATTCTCTTTTTGAACGATTAACAATAGAACTGTAGATTGAAATACTGAATGAGCAATTATTTCCTCTGTATTTACAGCTTCTGATAAATCTAAAGCCCAACGGAACAAGATGAAGACAACTGGCGAAAATATTGAATTTAAGTGCCTCATCCGAGCAACTGATGGGAAAAAGAATATTTCCACAATGGTAACAGTAGAAGCATTTCATTCTTTCCCATTGCTTAGTGTGGTTTAGCGCTGCTTTCTTCAAGTCTTGCCTTTTTTTCTTTTCTTTTTGCTTTGTTGAATCTTGAATAAAACTTTGGGATGTTCTCTGATAGGAAGATGTGATTGTGTTAGCGTCTTAATGAATTAATTTTTATAGTATAAGTTGAAGTGTGTAGATAAAAGTTAGATAAATGCGTGCTCCTTGTCTTGGCCTTTGAGATAGGGAGCAATATATTTTAGAAAGGGGGATGATAGTCTTGTGGTTCAAATGGAATGATAGTGCAGTCCTTGTTTACTTGATTGATAACTAATGGTTAAAGTATATGCTTGTAATTTAATATTAGCGCATCAACAGTGACGTTATTTCTTGTTCCTCTTATTAAACATAAAACTATATATTTTAGAGGCACTTTCCTCATTTGTGCCCTCTAGATCATCGCTTTCCCTTCCTTTCTCGGTTCCTCCAGTGATGCCCTACATTAACAATTAAGATGGAAGGAGAAAGAAAACAAGTAAAGGAACGGAGCAAAGTTGGAGATTGATTGTGCATTACTTGGTGGAGTTTGATTTTGACATATTTTGTAGTGTATAGTTCCTAGTACTTATATAAGAAGTGAGTTTGATTTTGACATATTTTGTAGTGTATAGTTCCTAGTACTTATATAAGAAGTGAGTCCATAATTCTGGTCAAAGAAGTCTTCTATATCTTTCCTTACTCTTAGTTTAAATACAAATCTAACTATCTAAGGGTAGAATCTGAATGTGCTTTTGGGGAATGCTTCCAGCATCTGGGGTTAGCATTTAAATTTGATAGCAAAAACTGTTAGGAAACAAAGTTTGGTGGAATGATAAAATTTGCCACTTAATATTGTTTATGTTTTTGGGCACAAGTTTTCTGCAAGTGGCTGACTATGAAAATGACTAGTAAGAGAGGGACTTATTATCCGTATCAAAAAGAGAAACTCTTGGATCTATCAGAGGCTGAAGAATTTGCACTCATCTGCGTGCTCACTCTGTGTGTGTGTGGATCAATGGTCAAAGCGATCCAGTTATTTGTCTGTTGATGCAAAAAGTGTGGAAATCCTTCCCTGTTTGGACTCAAAAAATTTCATAGCATCACTTTGACTCCACTCTAAGTAACATTGCCTATTAAACTTGTATATTAGGTTTAACATCTATGGAGTTACTAGATACATGATCATTGCAAGATCCATGTCTCCTTTTAGTTTGACCAAGATGCTTTATTCTTTCATGCCACTTACTCATTTCTAAAAATGGTATCCGCATCAAGTACATCAATTTTTCTTTCTTCCTCAGCTTCCTGTCATGAGGATTTCTCGCCGTGGGAACAATGTCTAATGCTCTTCTATTTTAGCCCTCATTGCTGATAAGCACCTTTGAGCTTTAACCTGTCTGCTAGCAGATGCTATCTTGCTAATGCAATTAGTCACTTTATCTGCATAACAACTGTCTCCTTTTTGGATCTTTAGCTTGCGCACCTAGACTTTTCCATGGGTTACCTGCTATCACCCACCATCATAGAAACCGTGTAACTTTGTCCATCAAGACTTGGACTGATGGGAAGAAATTACCTAGTGTTTTTGCCTCCATTGGGATTTGAACCTGAGACCTCATGGTTTCCAACCCACTTCATTGATCACTAGGCCTCTTCAGTATTGCAAAATTGTAGTCCAAGTTCAATAGCAATTAGTCATTTATAATGAGCTCCTTCTGCATGCATTACTTCAAGGATTGTGGGGAAATCTTGAACTTTTGGGAGATGACTGGGATTACAGGTAAGGAGGTGATCTTAGTCTCCATGTGGTTACTGGTTACTGGGATTAATAGATGCTGGGTGCTTCCTTGGTACTCCCTGCCTCAACTTATATGAGACACTTACATTTTGGAATGCTCTGAAAATTTTGAACCACTTGATTTCTGTACCTTCCATGAATTCAAACATATCAAACTATTCAAAATTTAAACATTGACATGACTTTTTAAAACTAGCTTTTCAGTATTTTCTTATAAGTTCTTCTATAAGGACATATCTCTAGAATTAAGAACAAATGTCTACATAATTTGTATTTCTGGTGTAAGAGCAATATTTTGGAGAATGAAGATCAATATTTGGACTTTATTGAGATGCTTGGAAAGTTATTGTAACCGGTGGAGCCTTCTTTGATGTACTTGTGTACCATCTTGGTACTTATTTAATGATGAAACCTTTACCTTATAAAAAAAAGTTCTTTTATAAGGACATTCTTTTCTTATAATGAAATAACAGTCTTATTAACTAGCAAAATCCAGCACTAAGGCAATGTTGGGAGTGTACAAAAGAGTTTTTGCTTAACTTCTTAAACTATCATGCAGTGATGTTGGGAAGTAATCAAGGTATCACTTCATATACATTTGTGAGATTACACTACATAGCTACTAGATACAAACACTTGTATTTTAAATTATGTCCAGGCCTTGTTTTGTCCTCAGAAGATCGTTGATTCTTCTCATTCAATAGTACTCACGGAATACATGCAGTGATTGTTTTCCATATCTTCTTGCTTGCCCTTTCTTGCCCAGCAGCTTGAGAGTTCCTTGACAATCTTGGTTTTCCATAGCCCACTGCAGTGAAATAATCTAAAAAAGGGCCCTCATAGCTAAAGCAGCAAATTTTGCGGTGTATGTCGTCTGTAGATGGACAATCCTGCTTTCTGTAGTTTCTTTTTTTCCTTTTATGTTAGGCATACATGAATTATGATAGGCAAATTGTAGTGCTGAAATCATTTGCGAGCTGAATCCTAATTGCACATTTTGGTTCTGAATTTTGCTTACCTGCACTTGCAAATACTCTTTGGTTTGTTACTACTTGAAATTGAGAACTTGCCAAAGTTTCCCGGTGGTGTATATGTGAATGAAGTTTGGGTTGATGAAGCCCGTCATGTGTCTATGTCTAAGGATGTGTTAATCCTCTAATATAGAACTTTGACTGGTATATCTGGTAGCCATCCCTTCTCAATTTTCCTTCTTGAATGTCTTTCTACATCCTACAATGGAGACAAGTACACACACTTAAATTTTCTTTAACTTTATTTGTATTCATGTTTGACTTGGTGTTCATGTAATATCTGATTATTATTTATGTGTTGATACATCATTTCACTTCTTGTAGCCACTGATGCACTTGATTTCTTTGGACTAACAGGTTGGAGCAAAAGATCACCAGCGTTTCCAAGCATCTTATGCGATTTTGCTGAAGGCCCGCTTGACTGCACTAAAAAAGAGGGAGAGAAAGGACAAGAGGAAGGCTGCTGATTCTGACAAAAAGTTGGAGAAGTCAAAGAAGAAATCAGCTGCTCAAAAGGCCTCTACATGAACTTTAGTCCTTTGATTTATTCCCCCATTTTTGTTTCTAGGATATAGTTGTAGGATTTGACTCCCATTTGGGATGACAAGTCTGAAACTGCATTATAACTCCAACTGCATAGAATGATGAGAGGAAATGTTTTTACTCAATGTTTTCACTTCTAAATTAGTGAAACTTTCCGAAGAGCTTGTTGGTATTATGGAACTTTGAAGAGATTCTGTCATAATCTTGATTTTTAGTTCGTTGAAGAACAGCTGTGGCAATCTTAGAGTAGAGCGGACCAAATTAGACTAGTTACCTACTTCAATGTCATTTTGTAGTTTGTTTGATTGCAGCTATATATACTTTTGGTTGTCAGAACCTAACGTGAGATTGTGTAGTTCTTTTTATTCTACCTTTTTCTTTTTCTTTTTTTCATATGTTCCAGAACCAGTAAGTGTTGAAATAGGCACTCTATTTGGTGGGTTATCTGGTCTAAAACTTATTTTCATGTTATTTGTATAGGTTTAGTGGGTGTTAATTACATTTAATCTTTTGCTTGCTACGAGATTCAAGCCTAACCTCACCCAACTAATGGGCTGTTGAGTTGAGCCAGACTTGTGGGTCAAGCCTATTCTAAACCATGAACATTGGTTGATCTAACACTCTAACTGGGCTGTAAATGTTTGTGCTGCCGAAAAAAGAGAAGTCAAGTAGTAACGTCTTTCATATGAAGTGAAATAACCCTTTTCATTTGATTGACATTTTTCCTTACGTAGTCATTATTCAAATGTGAAATTTCTCCTAACAAGAGGAATTATTCCCAGTATCTACACCAAGTTGGTGACAATACTCGGTATAATAATCAATCCTCCTAGCAACAGCCGGAGGATTGCCACCATCACACTCAAATGGGCCATAAGTGGCTCGAATCGTCGCCCCAAAACCTTGGCCAGAAGTTATGAGAGAGTGGCAATTGCTCATCCAGTACCACAAGGCTGTCTTGAATGATATAATGTTGTCTCTAGCCACGATATCAGGGTCGTTTAGGCCATCGAATCCGATGTCCTTTCCCGCTGGTCCATAGTTGAAATTCCATGACAATTGGATCGGTCCTCGGCCATAATATTTCTTGCCAGGGACACAAGGGTACTCTATGTTTTGCTGATCACAGTAGTTCCTGGTTGGTCCATTTATCTCACTTATGTAGCACATGTCTGCATTGCCAAAAAAAAAAAAGCACTATGTTGTTAGTTGAGTAAATTAAAGGCCATGACAAATGTGAACTAAGACTATAGCGGAAGAACAAATCAGAAATGGCCAGATTTACAACTGGTAATTGAGAAATAGCCGCAATTTAAAAGTAATCGAAATTTATCCTTAAAAATTCGGAAAAGTTCGAATTCTTTTACATATGAGATTCTTTCCAACATAATATATTGGAAGTTTAAATGCAGGAGCTTCCTAATCCAACATATTATAAAATTGGGTAGCCGGTGGTATTTGGCATGGGAGAGTTGTAAGGAAAAGGACTTACGTCCAGTCTCATGAGTGACATGAGCAAAGAAAGCGGCAATTTCACGCTTAGTATCATTAGAAGAACCAACAGTTCCAAAACGAGGATAAGAGTTGAGAGCTTCAAGAAAGGCAGATCTTGTGTAAAAACCTTTGCCATCACAGCTTGAAGCAGCTTGATTAGCAATTCCATTGAAGAATGATTCAGAAACAATTTCAGAAACTGATCCATTAGTAATTAATGAACCATAACAAGGCCCTCCTTGGCAGCCTTTTCCACAGTAATCATTTCCAGTGCCACAATAACCCCATTTACTGCAGCATAAGCCTTCTGCACACCCACATTTCTGAGCTAAGATCCATCTTGGAGTTAATATTATAGCTAGACTACAAATAAAAATGAAGTGCTTTCTTGAAGAAAAACTATTAAACATTTTTTTTTGTGGCGAAAAAAAAGAACTACTTTTTCGTTTTTCCTATGGAGGAAAGACTAAAAAGATAGTAGTAGTATTTATAGAAGCAAAATATGAGCCAGTAGTGTTCAAAATTCAGCAATTTAGTGTGAACTTTGACTTTTGACTGATTTGAGTGTAGCAATTTATTAAGAAGGATATGGTTATGTCATAAAGTCCTTTGCTTATTCATGCAGATCTGATGTAGTACTGATTAAAAACTCCTTGAGGTTTTTGGTAAATGTAAAAACCTCCCTTCAAGTTTTAAGAATTAATTGTAGGCGATATATGAGCTTAATTATTTGGCTAATTAACTGAATGAAAAAAAGTTTTTAAGCACTAAGCGCATTTTAAGTGTTGGAGTTGATTTATGAATAAACAATTACTCATTTGGATATAAGTGTGAAATTAAATGGTTGTTGTGTTTGGTAAAAAGATATTTGTAAGCATTTTTTATGCCAAAATGACTAAAATCTTGGAGTTCAAAAACTAAAAAAGAGCTAAGAACGTACTGTAGACTTGTTATAAGAATTTTTCAACTCATGTTGTTAGGTTAGGTTTGAAAGATAGTTTGTTATTGATGTTGGAAAAGTGGGCTTGTCCCACATCGGTGGTGCAAGGCCACTTTGTATGCCTTTTAAGTCCCGGTCTTTTTATGTGTTTAATTTAGAACACATACTCTTATATTAATATCAAAGGCTTGGACTTGGGCTCGGGCGCGGGCCGGGTCTATTTATAGGCAACCATCGGACCTTTTCAAAAAGATGTGTTCTTTCATATATATATATATATATATATATATATATATATATTAATATCAAAGGCTTGGACTTGGGCTCGGGCTCGGGCCGAGTCAGACATAAAATAGATATTTATTTTTTATTTATTTCTACAATTAAATCTGTTTTATTTTAAATTTATTTGAATAAACAGATGCGTCTGTTTATGAAAGAACACATCTTTTATGAAAGAACACATCTTTTTGAAAAGGTCCGATGGTTGCCTATAAATAGAAGTTCTTCCAACAAAGTGGACATAGAAAAATCTGCAGTATATTCCTGGCTTGTTGTATCCTGAAGAAGATTGTTTGTATTTCCCCAATTTGTATACGGGCAATATCTTCTTTAAGGAAAGTCGTTCTCACGCCTCAAGCCTTCTTCAATTTCGTTTTCGATTATTATTTTTCTAACAATCTTAAAGAAGACAATCTGCTATGGAGAACATTCTGTCCGCTGTTGAAAATCCAAAAGAGTTCATCAAACTCGACCGTTTTGATGGATCAAACTTTACTCGCTGGAAAGACAAGATGATTTTCCTACTGACTGCTCTGAAGATTTTTATGTTCTTGATCTGTAATTGCCTGCTTTGCCAGAACCTACTGCAGAAGATTCTGATGAAGTGAAAGCAACGAGGAAGAAACGGGAAGATGATGAACTGCTGTGTCGGGGACAAATTCTGAATACATTAACAGATCGTCTCTATGATCTGTATCAAAATTTGAAGTCTCCAAAGGAAATCTGGACGGCATTGCAAAGTGCTTATGAAAACGAGAAACGAAGTATTGATAAATTTCTATCTTTAAAGTACTTCGAATTTAAAATGATTGATACAAAACCCATCATGAATCAGATTCATGAACTACAAATCTTAAAAACTAACTGATCTTGAAGTCTCCAAAGGAAATCTGGACGGCATTGCAAAGTGCTTATGAAAACGAGAAACGAGGTATTGATAAATTTCTATCTTTAAAGTACTTCGAATTTAAAATGATTGATACAAATCCCATCATGGATCAGATTCATGAACTACAAATTTTAGTTTCAAAACTAACTGATCTTGAAGTTAAAATTCCTGATGCACTTCAAATCGGTGCTATACTTTCTAAACTGCCTTCTTCATGGAATGACTATAGAAAGAAGATCCAGCATTCTTCTGAGAAATTGACTGTGGAACAGTTTTGAACTCACATTCAAATTGAAAGTGAGAATCGAATTCGTGATACTTTTATGCAACCTTCGAGTTCCACAGTTAATAATGTTAGTCAGAAAAATAACGGAGATGGAAACAAAAATCTAAAAATTTCAAATAAGCCTCAATTTAAAAAGAGGAAAACTTTGAAATGTCATCATTGCGGAAAGAAAGACCACAAGATCCGTGATTGTAGGTTTAAGAAATCAGAAATTAACTTTAACCATGTAAATTCTGGAAACTCGGGAAGGTCTGAAAAAGCAAAAGCAAACACAGTTGAAAGTTCTTCACAAGGCTTGGTTGCAATGGTTTCTGTAGTACCATATAATATGGTTACAGAATTAAACATGGCTGCTGCTGGTGTTAAGAGTCAAGACTGATGGTTGGATTCGGGTGCCACCGTTCATGTCTGTTATGAGAAGAATATGTTCAAGACTTATGCAGAAGTGAAGGAACCCGAGAAGGTTCTCATGGGAAATCATATGACTGCAGATGTTGCAGGAAAAGGAAGTGTAGAGATCAATTTCACTTATGGGCAGAAGCTAACATTGCTAAATGTGTACCATGTTCCCGACATGAAGAAGAACTTAATGTCTGCTAGTTTGCTGTCTAAGAGAGGCTTCAAGATAGTCAAATCTGATCATGTAATAGTATCTAAGAATGGTTTATTTGTTGGAAAGGGCTACACTTGTGATGGCATGTTCAAACTTAGCATTAATGCAATAAACTATGTTTCTGCTTATATTGTTGAGTCCAATTCTTATTTATGGCATGCTAGATTAGGACATTTAAATTTTGGTTCGTTAAATTATATGTCCAAAAATAAATATATTTCTTGAAAGCATGATAATGTGAAATATGTATACAAGCAAAAATGACTAAGAAACCTTTTCGTAAAACTGAAAGATTTAGCGAATTGTTACACTTAGTACATTCTGATATATGTGAACTAAACAGAAAGTTAACCAGAGGAGGCAAGAGATATTTTATTACTTTTATAGATGATTATTCTAGATTCACATATGTTTACTTGCTTAGAACAAAAGATGAAGCATTTCAGAAGTTTAAAGAATATAAATCTGTTGTGAAAAATCAAAAGAATACTAAGAATAAGATTCTTCGTAGTGATAGAGGTGGAGAATATTTTTTCTCTGAAATTAATGAGTTTTGTGAAGAGAATGGTTTGATACATCAAACAAGTGCTCCTTATACACCACAACAAAATGGTTTGGCTGAAAGGAAAAATAGAACTTTAGTTGATATGATTAATGCTATGTTAATGAATGCACATTTACCACATAATTTATGGGGTGAATCACTTTTAACAGTTTGTCACATATTAAATAGGGTGCCTTCAAAAAGCTTACATGTTTCACCATATGAACTTTGGAATAATAGAAAACCTAATTTAGATTATTTTAAAGTGTGGGGGTGTATATCATTCTATAGAGTTCATGATCACCAAAGAACAAAACTAGGTCCTACAGGAATTAAAAGTATTTTTGTTGGATATGCTCAAAATTCTAAGGCATATAGATTGTTGGATCTAGAATCTAATGTTATAATAGAATCTATTCATGTTGAATTTATTGAAAATAAATTTTTAGATAACACTGTTGATGAGGAAATGACTGAATCAAGTGAAAGTGATAATAATGCATATAGATTGTCACATTCCGAAATTACTACAAGTAAAAAGAAAAGTGACAATATACAAATAGAACTAAGAAAGAGTCAAAGAATAAGGAAAGAAAAATGTCTTGGTTCTGATTTTATCTCTTCACAGTCCTTAGTCTTTCTTGTAAAAGGAGATAGAAAAAATGTCTGTAATCAAATTCCTATCTTATTAAATGTTGAAGAAGACCCGAAGACATTTCAAGAAGCTATGGCTTCTCGAGATGCTGCCTTCTGGAAAGAGGCTATTAATGATGAAATTGATTCAATAATGTCCAACAATACTTGGGTTTTAGTTGATCTTCCAAATGGATCAAAACCCATAGGTTGTAAATGGGTCTTTCGGAGGTGTATAATACAGACGGTTCTATCCAAACCTTCAAAGCAAGATTAGTAGCAAAAGGTTTCACTCAAAAAGAAGGCATAGACTATTTTGATACTTATGCTCCTGTAGCAAGAATAGCGTCCATTAGAGTGCTTTTATCGTTGTCTTCTATATATAACTTGTATGTGCATAAAATGGATGTTAAAACGGCCTTTTTAAACGGAAATCTTAGTGAAGAGATTTATATGCAACAACCTGAAGGTTTTGTTCTTCCAGGAAATGAGAAGAAAGTATGTAAATTGATAAAGTCTCTCTATGGTTTGGAACAAGCACGTAAACAATGGCATGAAAGGTTTGAAAGTACTGTACTTTCAAAGGGATTCATACATAATCATGTTGACAAATGTATCTACTCCAAGTTCACAAAGGAATACGGAGTTATCATTTGTCTATATGTTGATGACACGCTAATTTTTGGTACAAATATGCTTGGTATTAATGAAACCAAGAAGTATCTAACTTCACTTTTTAAGATGAAAGACTTAAATGAAGTAGATACTATTCTAGGCATAAAGGTGAAAAGAGAGAACAAAAGAATGACTTTATCACAATCGCATTATATTGATAAGATCCTTGCTAAGTTCAGTCATTTAGGCATAAAGGAGTTTAATACTCCTTATGACTCCAGTATCAAGCTAACTGAAAATACTGGAAGAACAATAGCCCAATTAGAGTATGCAAGTGCAATAGGTAGTATGATGTATGCAATGCATTGTACAAGACCCGATATAGCATTTGCTATTTGTAAACTTTCAAGGTTTACTAGTAATCCAAGTAATGATCATTGGAAAGCAATAACTAGAGTACTTGGATATTTAAAATATACAAAATATTTGGGCATTTGCTATAATGGTTTTCCCACTGTTTTAGAGGGATATTCTGATGCAAGTTGGATTACCAGTATTAATAATAATAAATCCACTTCAGGATGGATATTTACTTTGGGAGGTGGTGCCATTAGTTGGGTATCCAAGAAACAAACTTGTATTTC